CAATGAAATAGAGAAACGAATCATCTTAAAGAAGAAAACAATAATAAAGAAGCAAATCTGGAAAAACAACAGCTGTAGTTGTTAGCCCAGCGAATAAAAAAGACAGAGAACACTAGAGTGTATCTGGAAAAGAGTTGGTAAGCAGCACTACTTTATTATTATTGTTATCTTTTCAAGTTAAATAGAAGAGGTGACTTCTTGATCGAATCACTTATGCCTAACTGTCAGAAGCTCGCGCTTCTTTGAAGTTGCTATGTTTCGCACATGTGATGCAAGAACCCCTTGCTTTCATTGCTCATTGCTTTAAGCAACTGAGCTATAACTTTTAAGAACACTGCACAAGTAAAAGCTAACTATGTAATTTACCTCTGCTAGATGAAGATCACGTGTTTCCTCACCCTCGATTTCCCTAGCTATTCTTAAAGCTTCTTTTTCCAACTCCCTCATTTGAGGACCTTTGTCAAGCTTTGTAGTATAAAGTTCCTCATTGAATGTGCTTTTTACTCCAAATAGTGTTTCATTGGCCTGAAATTGATCCCAGCCCCTGCAAGAACATATTCAGTGATATAGGAGGTGAAACACATTACCATGTTAGTAGATAGCCTGTAAACACATGCCAAAGAAACATAATTCACAACTAGCACAAATTAGAAACCTTTCTATGCATTTATCTGGCACCACTATAGAGCAGAAAACTCAAATCTGACTTTTGGTAAACTTCCAATGAAGAAGTAGAAGAGACCTTTGAACACAGGAAAGGCACTGCTTTCTCCCCTCTGTAATAGGAAGCTCAAAGGAAAAGCAGAACATAAGCATGAACTAACAATTCCCACCAAGAAAACATTGTATTCATATATGCTTAGGTTTATGCATGTTTATTGATGTGAAGGGTAGAAAGGAGAGTACAGGAATATCTAATATTTTACTTTCCTGTTGGATATTTTGGCCACGACAAGGGAGAATGGTAGACTGGAGAGACGTGAATAGGGATCAACACACAAGAACAGAGGGGGGAAGGAGACTTCTTTAATGGAACCACTGTAAAACCCAAGAAAACCTAGTGCTTAGATTCCTTCTCTCTTAGTCAACCAAAAAAAAAATCTGATACTTCTTTTCTGCTCTCTTCACTCATTCTATCTTTCAGCCTCTCGACTTTCTTTTGTCTTTCTTTCATTCCAAAATATCTGTTAGAAAGAACTTCTACAGAATGCAAGAAGATCACAAACAACTTCCAAAACAAAGAGAGTAAACAGCTGTCTAAGTAGAGAGAGAGAGTCAAACTAATAAAATGCTAATGAGTATGATTACCTATAGAGAATCAAACACAACCTCACTTGAAGTTTAACATTTTCAGCACAATGAAGGGTGATTAGGAATGGGTAAACAGCAAAACAAAGATAGTAATATAAACAGATTTGTTTTTTGAATTTTTCATTGTAATAATCAGTTTATCCAAGATCACATTTTTTGGTGGTGGTGGGGTGTGTGGGGGTGGGGGGTGGGGGATTTATATTACCATAGCTACTTTGACAAATATCAGATGAACCAAACTAAGATTGATCTAATAACCTGTTCCAGTGGCCATCAAATATGTTATCCAACTCAGGACATTCAAGAGCATCATCATCAGGCACCCAACGTTCCAACTGCCGCTCTACCTCACCATGCCGGGACTGTGATATGCAGGAATCTGTCAACAGTTCCAGCTGTTTTTCCCGCAGCAATTCAGCTCTGAAGACATCTAAAGAGGCAGGAACACCCTATTCCAAAGCAATAGTCTCATTATTATACTTTGACTGTCTAACATATAGACAAGACATAAAATCTGATTCTAGCATCTGTTAACAGTGATCTATAGCTTAGTCTTGCATAAAATGCCACCACATACAATATTTGGAAGTTAAAATCATAGAAGTAACATACAAACCTTTGCTAAAACTTGCACAAGCTCTTTACCCGGTATAATCAAAGTCTTACTTGGAGGTTTGACCAGAGATTCAGGAGTATTCTTACTCTCCAGGGAACCATCTTTTATCAAGTGGGCCAGTTTCAGAATAATACCTGTCCAAAAATCAAGGAAAGAATAAAGTGCCAAATGCAAAATAGCTCAATACATGCCAGAGCAATCTTCAAAGGCATAAATACCAGATAAAATAATCTAGAAATCTATTTTAATTTTTCAGACATACCAAAATCTTTGTCAGCATTTGTTGCATGAAATATCCCTGAAAACACAGATCCATCCGTTGTTTGTACTTCCACTTGATGTCCAAGAAGACATGTACTAAAATAAACTAGTCGATCATGTGAAGGACTTTCGTATGATCCCCCTTTACCTGTAAGTTATGGCAGTTAGAATTAAGCATATGAAGCAATTTAGACAATTCTCAATTAGCAGCTCTCACCTACAGCTGTCGACTTGCTGGAAGTCGTTTTTGTAGACTGCATTTTACTCTCCAACCTTGTCCCCATTTCTTTTTCGCCTTTGCGACTGCCAAATCCATTGGCAAAGGACCTTGACTGAACAGCTTGCTGCATATTGTCCCCGAAAGATATAAGCAAGATACAGTTCAGCTCAGCTTCACCCTACACACTGCAGAGGACAATACTCCAATAAATATGTTGTCCTTGCCCAATAGATGAAAATGCTAATGAAGCATATTCTTTCTCAGATATGACATATTGTCTATCCACACACCAAGTTTGAGCAGAGAACATGTAAGAGTACACGGAAAAAGAACGATACAAACGGCATCCAGGCGCACTAAGTCCCTGCTCTATCAGTGGGTCTAAAGAAGAGTCATATCGAATAGGAACTATCATACAGAGCCTAACCTTGTGCTTCTGCAAGAGTTGTTTTCAGGAGAAAACGTGTCTCACAAACAATAATTAGGCAAGTTAGCAATTGTACGTACTAGACAAGTTCAAATACCCTACAACACAAAGGACTTCAACGGTTCAACCCCTACCTCCACCCCAACAATATTCTTCTTAGTTTGAGATCAAAACAAAATCATCACTAAAATTTAAAATGGAACATACTATACAATAAAAATTACACGTGGGCAACAAAAAGACTTCCGGTTGGTAATATAGCCGATCAACATGTAATCAATGCTCTTGGTTCTATAGCGGATGTTCTTCCTGATGAATAACTGCACTTTTAGGTTCATCAATAATGTATCAACCCTGAGGAGAGTCAGAGGAATATCAACACTTAAAAAAGTATTGGAAACTTCACTAGCTTAGATCTTAACATTGTCTCTTACAAATGGAAAGCTATGACTTTGACACATTCCCTAAGCACATATCTATCTGCCTAATTCAAACAGAGACATGAAACTAGGCCTTAGTAAATGGCTTCTCAGGTAAGTAAAAACCCTCCATCAGTCTTAGTACCTGGCCTAGGTAAACTCATTAGAAGAATCCAAAATTACTAAAGCAAGTAATTGCAGCAAAACTATGATCAAGAATCTTGGCTAACCACCTGAAAGTAAGGAAAACACCTGAGCAAGATATGTAGAAACGATAGAAAACCTTTAGGGTCTGGTTGACTGGCAGTAGTTCTAAAATCTTGGAGCAATCTTGGTCCTCCCCCATCCCCCACCCCCCACTGACACAATCAACCTTTTCCTAATCAATATAAAAACCCTAACCCCAAAGTCTCGATACTAACCCACATTCGGGGTTTCTTTTTCCTGTAATTTACAATAGATATAGCTTACAGTTATCACGTAGAATTAACCCATATAAGCAGCAAGAACAATCAAGAAACACTAAACATATAATCAGTGTAGCGCACCAAACACAAACAACGAAGTTGTACAAGAAAACACAAAACAACCCATAAGAAATCTTCCACAAAACCGCACAATCAATAAATTTGTACAAGAAAACGAAAAACATTAATAAATCAAATAAAAAGTCTAGCTCATACAGAAGATAAGAAACTTCATCAATTTTGCCGATCCAAAACAGATGATCCAACAAATATACTATCAGATACGGATGAAGAAACTTACGAATAGATAAATATATATAGATATCTAGAGAGATTGAAGGTGGCGATCAAGAAAGGGGATTGATCGGAGACGACGATGCTCTGTGTCGAAGAAAAATTGAAAGATGAACACAATAGTTTTTGCGGGTCTACCGGTACCGGATAGCCCAACTTAGACCAAAGAGAGACTAAATGGCCCGTTTTATAATATGGGCTCGGACTCAACCCAAGACCCGAAATACGTACTCCATAATCTCTTCTAAAGAGATATTTTGTTACCGTTTAAAGTTTTAAACGCTTGTTGATTGTTTGGAATAAGTTATTTTGGTATTATTATTTTATTTTTAATATGTGATAAAATAATATTATAAGTTGGGTTAACTAATTTTAGGATAAGTTATTTTATAATTTTATTTTAACCAAATATAGATAAATTAATTACAAAATTAATTATTGTTTATCCCTCATATGTTTAATATCTTTTTGATAAAATTTATTTAAATACTCAAACTATTAATACTTTTTTTTTTTTTTGAACTTGAACAATTTAGAATTTTTGTGTGCTAATGAAGTTGTTAAGTTAGGCATATAAAATATTTGTTATGTTTAAATTATACAAACCTATCTTTGTTTTATAATTTATTAAAATTAAATCATATCATTAAAGAAGATAGAGATATTTTAATCTATTGCCTTGTATGAATAAATGTGTGAGTATTACAAGTTGCACATATATAAGTTTAAAGTCCTTTTTTTTATCCGCTTGAATCAAAGCCTTTCAAAATCTATTTTCATCACATTTTTTCTCTTTTCAAAACATCAATCATGAAACAAAAGTCCTATTAATTTTTATTGAGTTTATCATTTTGTTATTGATAAAAATCTAAAGAGGTTCTACTTTTTAAAAAAACATGAACTCACTAAATAAATTGAGGATATAAAAGGTAAAAAAAATATCAATCTTTTTTTTATTTGTCAAAAATAAGCAAAAAGGGACAAATAAAAAGTCGAAATGGACAAATAAAATGTAGAGGATGAACACCTGTAGTACGACAGCTTTCACTTACACTGCTAATTATAAGCTTTAATGGTACAACATCAAACTCAATCCCTACTACACACCTATTATTCTTTGTTGTTGCATAGCGAGATGAGCTGCGTTAATGTTACAATTTACACCACCGGAAGTAATAAATCCTGCACTATATCTGGAAAAATACCTGTTCATTTCTGAATATTTGAATGGCATCCAGTGGAAAGGGTATGTAAGTTCATAAATAACATGTCAAGCTGGTATGTTGACACAATGAAACTGGTGAGTTTCGACAGATAATCACAAACGTAAATTGATCTTCTCAGACCACTTGAAGATATCTGAGTAAACTTGATCACCTCCCAAGTTTTTACTTGTTCCACCAGCAGCAACTCTCATTACATCCTCTATCAAAGCGAAATTTCCCATTATATCAACATGTGCACCACTCTGTGTACCACGACCCTCAAGAAGGTTTGCAGGGGGAGCATGAAAATACTCCCTTATATAAGTTTTGATACCAGAGGGATTAAATCTAGTTTTTCCTCGCCATCCTTTTGCACACATGAATCCTGCGCTTAATGCAGGCACAGTCTCATCACCATCTACCGTGTAAACACCAGATTTCAAGCAGCTACCTTCATCATTATCATCAGCTGAAGTATCAATCTGGAATGGAATATTGCATCCTGCTGTAGGTATCCGCTTGTAAACATATGCTCTTTCAGTTTCAATGCCAACTCCATACAGTGAATAGATCTCCATGTCAGGAGCATTTGGTAACCTGAAGAAAAAATCAGATCAAAACAAAATAACTAAGATTAGTTTGAACTAAAGAAGCTGCTGCAAATTATAGCAAAGCCTTGTCATGGACATTCAAGTTTGTCTAAACCTTCTGAGAAATTCAAAGGGGGGACAAAGGAAAGAGAACTCAATAGAAGAGAATCTAAATAACAATCAGGTAATTTCCATGAGCCACAAGAAAACAAAAGTATCTCAAAGGGCTTGTGATCCTATCTTTTTCCTGTTTAAAAAACTGTACTAAGGGGGAACTTCTTGCCCGAGTGGAAGCTATTAATGTTCTTTACCACACAAGAAGGCAATGATAGAGCTTTACTGCCTTAAGTGTCGGGTTCTTTCTTCAGATTGGAAATTGCTACTGAAATTTTGTGTGTTTTGAAGTAGGATAGTCGAGGCTCTTGGCTGTAAAACCAAATTTCGTTTTGGTTCTTGAACTTCAACCTATACAGTTAAAAGACTTCTTTTCGTCTTATCTGAAAGGATTCAAGTTAGAACTACATTTTTTTTGGCAATTAAAACTAACATTTTATTACCAAACTAGCAGATCTGTACATAGTCTAAAAAACCTGTAGTCTTATAAGTTAGAACTACATTATAAGACACAAAAGCAAAAATATGAGAGGACTCACTTTGTCTCCAATGGATTTGACCAATATTTGTAGTGTGAATACTTAGGATCATCCAAATCATCAGCTATCCCATATGAAAAGTGAGCATTACCACGGGCCATCATTTTCGGGGCAACAAAGTTGAGCAAATCCACAATCTCTCCAGCTGTATAAACCTTGTACTCTTCCACTGCTTTAGTGCCACTAACACCCATGTCTTGGTACTCGTTCCACACATCACAGGTGTTATTTGCAACATTACTGCCCTTAACAGCATCCTGCATGTAAATAAATGCTAGTTAGTTAGAGGCATCAGGAAGCAATGGATAAGACAATTTATTTTGGAAATTACAGCCTGTGAGCACAAAAAAAAATCTGATAAGGAAGTTAAGACAACTTCTTCAGACAATATTTGCATAAATAGGAAGAAAAGGCACCCATATCATGGAAGGCCACTGAGACATCACAGATCACCCATCTTTAATGTTATTTAGTTAAATCTCCTGGTAACTTTTTATTTTCTTGATGAGGTCAATTTTATTTTAAAAAAGTACAAGATGGTACAGGGAAGTACAAAAACCAACTGCATGAGAAAACATCACCACATCGAGTAATCCCTTCTAGCAAGCTAAGGACATCCATGCACTGATCCAGGCTGTCTACTCTACTCATATAACACCAGAAATATCAACTAAGCAAACAAGAGTTCTTAATTCTAGAAACATGCATCTTTCTTCCTTCAAAGCAAGCCTTATTTCTTTCCATCCATAAGTCCAAAAGATGCATATGAGAATGGTTCTTCAGATCTTCTTCAGATTACTTGATTGATGCACACTAAACATGTGCTGCTGCTGATGTAGGGATCTTAAATATGAGTAATAATTACAAGAAGAGAAGGAAATAGATATTTCTTTGCTCTATAAGAAGCACCTTATAGCATAACCAATATGGTCTTCAAATTTGAAATATTTGAGAGAACATGGTTCCATTTTTCATTGCTTTTCCTGGCAGTTATGATGCTTTGCTTGTCTAGTTCTGCTTCTACTCAGTGGAAATATTTTTGACTCTTGTGGTCTTTTTGGAGCATAATAAATTCAGATGAACTGACAAAATGAATGGAGTTCCTCGTTCAAGAAAAAAGAAGAAGACAAGTGACAAGTTTGGAATATTATATGCAAGTAAAGGAACACTTTTCAAGAGGAAGTCCAATATGAACTTAATTGTAACCATCTCGTCCCATTTACATTGACAGCAGATTTTCCTTTAAAGGAAATTCTGAACAGATATTTCGTTGAGATAGCAAGTGTTAAAGGAATGCCTCATGCAGTACTTTATCTTATTTCTTTCTTTTGTTAGTGGATAAGTCCTCATCTAATATTATCACAAAAAAGGGAATGTCTTGCAAAGAATGTGTACAAAAACAATTGATATACAAGGACATCATCCAGTTGTAATATAAAGATTAGACTTCATTTATTTCCATTATTTTACACTGACATCACACCAAGCACAACACATTGGCTCTGAATCGTGTAACTCATGACATGTGAGCCCACTGGTTTTATTATGACCAGCCAGGTATCCAAATCATTCTTTGGCAATTCCCCAAAAGAAGCAGTTTTTAGCGAGGCAACAGGTCATACCCATGCTTGCCTATTGCATAAAAGTATAAGTAAAAGAACCATAATCAGAACAAGAACTTCACATTAGAGTACTAACCACTTTATAGATAGTTTTATTTGTGCTACTTTAGGCACATTTGAGTTATATGGATTCAGATTTGGAATTCTGTCACATCCCATATTAACTGGGTCTGATATCTATTATCTGGATGATTTCTGAACACATATACATGGTCCAAGGTAAAGCTACTGGGTTGAGATGAACACAGTTTATTCACTAAATCCCTTGGACTACAGCATGTCTGCTGATCATAGAAGTCCCTAAACTGGTAATCCGAAATCACCTACACCCACCACTAACAAAATCAATGCTCAAAGTTGAAACACATAAAGGAAAGTAGCGTATACAAGAGAAACAATGAGAGAATTTGGTTTCAGATTAACATTACCCTGAAGTCAATCCTCTTAAGATCTGATGGATGAGCTTCTGCTGCATCCTTTCCAAAGGACATCATCCTTCCATAACTGTAATATTTTGCTTTAGAATCTGTAGTTTGATTCTCGTGATGTCCTGAATTCTGAGCAGCATCGTCTCTGGACTTACTTCTGCAAGGAGAATAGCCTTCCTCGGGTGACCATTCAAGACCGCCCCAGATCGTGTCCCCTCCTCTTGGTATCATTGACATGGTTGCATCCCAGGTTCGTGACATCTTCATTATGTGCTCTAATGTTTGAAGATGGAACATATCCGTGTCCAGAACACCTGGAGCCAGAGCCCTGAAATTCAGGTGAATTACTAAAGAAAGAAGAAGAAAAAATACATTACATACTAGACAAACTTAAAGACCATGCTGCTCTGAGAAAGGACTATGAGGATGTTGGGCTGGACTGAATGATAACCAAAGGAGGATGAAGAAGATGAGTGCTGATTACTGAGCGAAGACATTATGGAGTAATATGTTTGTTTGGTGTTGCCTGGTTGTTGGGTTTTTAAGGCACTAGAACAGTTTGTTTTTCCTTTTATTGCGTACTCTAAAATGAATTGTGCTGACACGAACAACAATGTTGTACAATACTTTTTAATAGTTCAATGGTTGAAAGGATATTCATAGAAACCTTTCAGGAATCTGGTTAACATTTTGGAGATGCTCAAAGGTTTCAGAACACAGCTTGAAAGCCATAAAAGAAGGGATAATTTCATGGCATGTTAAGGAAGTTACTCCATGGGCCACAAATTAGTTTCAGCAACCAAATAAAAGGATTTCGATCCACATAATTTGCACCCTTCCTTTTAACAAGCTGCAAAGAAGAAAGATTTTCAGAGAGTTAAGTTTACCTGGCAACAGCAATATCCCGTGCTTCAGCTGAGAAAAGGCCAGCTATAGATTTTGGAACACCTAGCAATGGCCCACCAATATTCATCACAGCTTTAATGTGCTTGGCGCACCAATCGGGTCCACCACCACCACCCACAGGAGCTGGTGCCTCCACCCACTTCATAAAATGCAAAAAGTATACAACCCCCATGGAATGTGGAACAATTACTGCCTTCTTGCCACTGGTTGCAACCATCAGTTCTATATTGCTTTTTATCCGACTTAGGGTCTGGTCTCGCACCTATTGAGGAAAATTGAGCATCACAATTATAACATTTAAAAATGATTTAATTGGAACAGCTTTTAACGTGATTTGACCAAATACAAACACAGACGACACCACATAGGAGACATCAGTACCTCGGTGTTCTGAAAGGCAAGCCTCCAATCATATGCAGCCATATACATGGTTTTCTCCTCGTATCCAATTCGAGCCAAGTTAGCAATCAAAACTGCCCAGACAAAGTATCCTGGAGCAAAGTAATCTGCAGCAACAAGTCCACTAACTGGCCTAACTCTAATACCAGGAGGATCCATCCCAGTTTCATTATCTAATGTCATGTGGTTCACCCAGCATAGTGGTCTGCAAAAGACCATACATAAAATTTAAGAAGTGAAAGAAAATGCTAGCAATGACGACAGAGATTTAGTTCTTACGGGGTGAGCTAGAGGTTAAGATGTTTTCTATTTTTGTTTTTTGTTTTTTTAAGGAAAAGGTTTTAGGTTAAGAACCATGACTTTGAAGTGGAAAAAATACAAGAAAGAAAGTAAATATGAGATCCTTTCATTCCTAAACAGAAGTCTCTTACTAAATCAGAAAGTCGCACTGCCTAACTGAAAGATGTATTACACTGTGAGCCGTGAGGCTTACAGTTCCTGAAGGGCAAAATTCAATGGGCAAAATTAATTATGGTGGATTCCCTATTAATATTTTTCAAACCTTATAGCTAGATATTACTAGTAGTTTCTTTGACCGAACAATTTCAGTGTATTCAATGCCACAGTTGTTCTATCCCAAAGACAGATGATTGTTTACAACAATTTCAGCAGTATATCCCTCCCAGAGGTGAAATTTATTCAGTGCACTTGCTCTGCCTCATTTTGTGGCCTTGTTTGACTAGAATGTATATGAGGGGAAAAAATGGAAATTAGTGGGCTTCTTTGTTGAAAAGGAGTAACCTGATGTTCTTCATTTCCTCTTTTTGACAGATGTGTCATATGATGCTCAAAATTCACAATATAGTGGAGCAATAGTTCGTATGAGAAACTTTTTCAATTAAGCAAAGGATCATGTAAACCAAAACAGATTAAAACGGATTGTCCGCTTGCGAATTGAGACAGGTAGAATATCTAAGTAATTGTTCTTGAGTATAACCGTCCATGACGTTCGGAAAAAATTGAGGCTAATTAGAAGCTAGTTTCCGCTAAGGAAATTGAAATCTTTAGTTTGTTTCTTGGTCAATCTGGAAACAGCAGTGTAATATGATTAAGGGTCTATAATCCCATCTACTAAACCATTTAAGTTGTAAAGCTAGATCTTTTATCATGACTATAGAATTGCTTTAGTAGAATTAACTGATGCAAGAAGTATATCCTATATTGAGCTTTGTATTAATCATCATGGATAATTACTATATGAACTAACGCCAGAAGGAAGATATTCTAAATTAAATCAACTTAAAGACACTGTATTAGTTTGTAAGTTGTAACTTTGACAGACTTGAAATTGCAAGCAATAGAACAGCATAAAATTAGAAGAAGGTTTCCAGTGTCAAATAGCTTCATTATTCAGCAATATTTAGCTGAAAAAGCTATCTCAAGAGATAAGATCAGTGCAAATATCCAGCTGAAACTAAGATAAATCATGCTTATTGCAATCAAAACAGTATTTAAGAACCAAAATCTTTGCAAAACCAATTACCCAGAACAGTAACAGACAGAGGCATTACCTTTTGTACACTTCTCCAAAAGTCCCGCCCCAAAGCCGCTTCCGAAACAATCCTTCAGCACACTGATGTCCTTCCCACAGTTCAAGTCCACACGTGACAATTCCAGGAATAAATACCACCGGATGCTTAGCCTTCAACCCTTCCTTCTGCAACTTGATGCCCGGTGGATCAGGTAACGGGCCTGTAATCGCCTCCGTAACATACTGCGGGAACGACGCCGGCATAGCATTGTATAAAAACAACAAAATCCACCACACACAACATATGCATCCTACGAACCAACAGCAATTATCGATACACGACCATTTCTTCTTCTTTCCAGACTTCACATTCTTCTTCCTACTCTTCTTATCGTCTTCTTCCGCATCAAGCTTTGGCTCCACATCCGGTTGAATTTCATTTTCAGGTGCTTTTCTTCTTCGTAATAACGACATCTCTTTATCTTTTATTTTACTTCAATTAACATAACATACGGAGAGAGCTTCCTATATTCTATAAGAACAGAGACCACCGGAAGCCGCCGCCGGCAACGGCTGAAGTATCGGCGAAACAGGGAAGATAATGGGTGACTGAATTAAAAAAAAAAAGAAAAAAATGTGAGTAATTTAGAGATGGAGAGCTGTGTGGGACCGGAGGTGTGCTAAACAATTAATTTACGTAACGTGGCGTGAAATATTATATTATTAAGATACTATTTGATTGGTGAAGATTGTTATGTACATTTTTATTTATTTAATATTCTGCGTGTCACAGAGTATCAAAGGCGCCTGTTAACGTCACGATTATTTTTTATTTGATTTTTGATATTTTTATTAAATGTAACGATTTAAATATGAATTGCGTAAGGCCTATTAATAATGTTGTGGAAGAATTATATATCTATATTGTTAAGTAATGGTTGTATGGAGAGTAGGGACACAGCTAAATAATTCACAAAAGGTCAAACTTTTTGAGTAGGGGGGCTGAGTATGGAGGAAAACAGCCAATTGTCAATGTTACTGCTGTGGAAACTTCTAATGTTGGACCCACCTTTGATTTTTTTTATTTTTTATTTATAACACAATTTTTGAATTTGCGAAAAAGGAAAAAGGTAATGAACGTTTGAAATAATTTGTATTGTTGAATTATTTTGTTTAATTTATTGTTGTTTACTTTTGAATTTGAGAAAAAGGATAAAAGCGATAAACGTTAGGTGAAACCTTTTGCCACGCTTTCCATCTTATGGGATATTAAATTATTTGTTTCACATTTTAAAAATATATATTTTGCTTGTCCCTATTAATTAATTATTACATTATATAAACAAATGATGTGTAATTTTAATCACATGTCACGTAGATCTATAGTTAGTTTTCATTAAATAAAAGCTAACGTGTGTTTTGATATGTAAAGTCTTTGATTTGGATAATGGAGGGGGCATTTACTTATCTGATATGCATAAATCTTTAATTTAGGTATGGTTAAAAATTATATTTTTTTGCTTGTTTAACTATTTTGTTTGATTCAATTTATATATATGTTTGAAGTTCATATACATAATATTAAAGTTCAAATAAAAATGAGTCAATATTATATATATTGTCAACGTTCAAGTAAAAATAATTAAAATTCATCTATTTTTGTATCATGTGTTTAAAATGTTATATATGCAAAAAAAAAAATATTAAAAATATGTACAAATTAAATAATGCTGTAACACTGTCAAAAAAAATTATCGCGTAAATTTTTATGCGAGTTGATTCAAAAGAAGTTGCCTATTGTACAAGGCTTTTAAGATTTCTTTGGTTGTGATTGAACATACAATATAAAATTATAAGTTCAAGCAATATCTAAAATAAAAAAGACATGATTTGATTTCAAAATTTTAAAGTATAAGATTTTCGTCTAGACTAAAATTTGATCCAAGAAGAAATCTTAGATGCAGATTAAGAACAGAGGAATATTTTGGACCAAGTGGCGAGACAACTGTCGTGCGAAATATAAGTGAAACTCTAAATCCGTGACATAATATTTCAATTATCGAAATATTCGCGAAACTCTAAGTCCGTGACATAAAAGCCCAACTATGCCAACTATCTTTTTGAGGAAAAACGTGAATAAGAGAAGAGTTGGGTTAAGCCCAAATCATTCAGTAGAAGAAATTTGGGCTATGGCTTCAATTCATTTAAGTTTTGTTCTTATCATTATTTGTTGGCTTGAGACTTTTGACATTTAAAAAACTACTTTCAACTTGGATGAATTTCCACAAGAGTTTGAATTTATTTATCAAGTGTTGCTATGATATGCAAAATTGTCTTCATCTTTTTATGCTTGCAATTATTTATCAAACTTGATTTATTAGGTAAACTTAAGCTCCAAGATTAACTTTATAATCGTCTATATTCTTTCCTAAAGTGATTTTGTTGTTTGTTGGTGTGACTAAAGTGACCGATCTTTTAACAAAAAATTACGTAAAAAATTAAATTTATACTATTTCTTTATCGCGACTAACATTATGCATTAATATGTGGGCAGACTTCGAGTTTGTATAATTAATTACGTTTGTATATAAATAATTCGTCAGGATATATAAATACATAGGTATAATATACAATAATTTAACCTATATACATATACAATTCATCTCTCTCCCACTCTCTGCCCTCTCTTGCTCGCCTCTCTCCTCCGTCTCCCCCTCTCTCCTCCCTCTCCTAATCTCTCTTGCCATATATACAAAAAATACAAATATATAATATACAATTATCTAACCAATATATACATATACAATTCACCTTTCTCCTACTCTTTTCCCCCTCTCTCTCCCAGTCTCGCTCGCCTCTCTCCTCCATATAACATGTAGCTAAAAATTGTAATTATCAAACTACAGCTATGGAGAGTAATCAATTATTATTAAGTAGCTATATATGAAAGTTTCTCGTCTTTTAAACCGACACAAAAGGCACCAGTTGGGCCACTCTCTGTGTTTCGATGAAGGTCTTAATGCTCGCATTTTTGTGGTAACTCTTTTGGAAAAATTATTTGATTAAACACATTTTACTATTACTATATATATTATCACTATCTATATTTTCAAAATATTACGCATCTTATCACTAATTAAGAGTCTTTAATCAAATATTGATACATATATTTTTTTCTATCAGATATATATATATTTAAATACACTAAAATACATAATATTACAAAGTAGAGTGTAAGTACCACCAACTTTTTTTACTGTTTACCTTTGTCACAAACAAAGGACGAAAGCTTCAAAAGTAGTAACTTGTGTTTTTGGTTTTGAGTTTCTTTGTCTTGTATTTTAATAGTAATCACGGAAAGAAAGCGGAAAACATGATGGTGTTTTAATAGTAACCACGGAAAGAAAGCGGGAAGCATGGTGGTGTTTTAATAGTAACCACAGAGTTCACTATTTCTTTTGTGGATCGTAAGATTAGTAATAATTTTGGAGCAATTGAAAAAGGTAGCAAAGAGCCTGTTAGACAAATTCATGAATTAACTTAAATATTCGTCAATTCAACTTCTTAAACTAAAAATAGTCTAATATACATGTATAATAATTACAAAAGGTTTACAAATCGGCTAGTTATTTGATTAAAGATCCCATTGATAGATAATCTGCTAATAGATACGAGAACGATATTGCACGAGGAGGTATAACAAATGATAATACATGCAAGTTGACCTGAACATCACCCTCGAAAGACAAAGGCAGGTGAGTTTTTGCATCATGATTTCACATTCCAATTTTCATACCATGACGTGTGAACAAAAGTTCAAAATTCCCTCTTTAATTCCCTTCTCTTTTCATTTTTGCTTTTAGGTGTTTTGCTTGATAGAGAAGCTGAAGAAATTCCAAGTTTCCTATCTAAACATCAATTGTATTTTAGTGCAAGCGTGCAGTAAATCACCTTGGGATCGACAAAGATTACTTTTTTTTTTTTTTTAAAATAGAAGAATAAAGGAAAAAACTTTGATATACTTTGGAGGAATATGGAACAATCTTATGCTCTTTTTTCCTTTATTAAACTTCAAACTAAAGCCTTTTCTTTTTCTTTTCTTCTTCTTTCTCTCTTTCTTCATATATAATTTGATCCAAAACTTTAACTAGGCTGTTAATACTACTATTTCATCATTAGTGGCGAAGTCAGAAATTTCGTTAAAAATATTTATTGACCTATATATTTTCGTATAATTTTCTATATATATGTGTGGATTTATATGCTTCAAAAGGATAAATCGTTGTAATTCGATTACCTATCTCTAGTAGGGGCCGGAAGACCTTTAGTCTTTTGATTAAAGTAGTGGTCATCTGTTATTGAAGTAGTAGTTTTCAATTTTTTATGAGATATTTTCCAACTTTAATGGATTTGCTTGGTGGAAGCTTTTAAGTTGTCTTAAACCCTAATAAACCCTTCACTTAATGACTGAGCTCTCATTATGTGAATATATTGAATTATACTGTGGGCGCTGAGTTTTCAACAGTGATTACGAAACATAGCCGATTTTTGTTTTCTTTCTTTAGGGCCGGCCTATCTTGAGAAAGAAAAATCCAAACTCACTTAGGTCACGTTTTGTTAGGGAATAAATTATCGTAAAATTAATTGTTTCAGAAAAAATTATCGTAAAATTAACTTAGGCCACATTTTGTTGGGAAATAAATTGTCGAGATTAATTATATCTTATTTCTCATACCAAATGAATCATTTTAATTAATTAGAGCTCAATTGCATAATGATTGTAGCAATTACTAGTATAGTAGTAATTCCTCCTTGTTAGCAATTGGTATACTAGTTGTAGTGGAAATTATAAGCTCCCACACAATGAATACAAATAGAAGAGGATTAATCATGATTTTGATGTTATTATAAGTTTCAATTCACGTTAATAATTATAATATATCATCATTGAATTTGCAGTTTTGCACATACATATATATGGTTTACTTAAATTCTTAATCAAGCCTCTAAATCTATCCTCATGTACAAAGATATACATGTTAACTATAAAATTATGGAATGTGCTATAATGTACGAATCTTTCCACTCTTAACCAAAGTTCAAATATGTTACATTCAAATTTTCGAAACAAAAAAAAAAAGCAATATCTTATTTTCAATTCTACATCATAAATATTTGAATGACTCTGATCAGTATATTCCGGATAGATGATGATTTTTTTTAAAAAAAAATTTGATGACACGATATAGTAGCATTAATAGAAGGAGACAAATTATATTGGGATGAGCACTAACGTTGATTGATAAGACAAGTGTAATAGGTGCAATTGGAGGATAGCAAAGAGTGAACTTTATTTTACATTTAACATGACTCCAACGTAGTACAATGTTTTTTCTATTTAGTGCCATGCATGGAAATAGAAATCAAAAATGGATTGACACTTTATCCCTACAAAAATAAAAATAAGTTTCCTCTCACTTTCATGGATTGTACATTTTGTCATTTCAGTATTTAAAAGGAATCTAACTCCCTTCTTTTTATATTATTTCCCCTAATTTTATGAATCTTTTGTTTTAGTCTTCTCCTCTTTCATTTCCTCACGTATATCATATCACTTAGACTTTAAAGATTATCTTTTTAATAATTGTCTTATTCGAGCCAGTTTATGTGTAGGACTTAAGCTGATTTTACGTAATGTTTGTTGATGAAAATATCATAAATTAAAATTGGAAATAAAATGAAAAGAGCGAATAAATAAAATCTCGCTTTTTTAAAGAGATTCAAAGTCTATATGGTATTAATCTTCATCGATACATAATATAATAACACGACAACGTCAAATAACTCAAACAATTTCAAATTATTTAAAGAGTATTTATTATCTTTTTATCCAACATACTTATCGAGTAACTCTATTTATAAAAACTTGATCAAATAAAAAGAAGTCACACCTGAAATTGATCCCACTTATAAATTCATTTTGGAATTAGTATTTTGAAAAAAATGTTATAAATTACTTGTTATAATAATGAATTGTGTAGTTTTGCTTATGCTAGTAGAATTATGATATATGAATTTGATTTTTTTTTAAAAATTATTTGTAGGTCAATTTATTTATGAATCGTCATATATTTGTGATATTGATCCGTTACTCCATAAAGATTGACAGCCACGAGTGCAATGATTAATTTAGCATTGTGTAAATCATGTTTGACATAAAGTTGGCCACTTTTGGGGTCTCTTTCTCAAAATCTAACACATATCTTCTACACAAATAATAATTATAATAATAATAATGAACGACTTGGAAGTATACACTTACGCACATCATTGAAATTTCTACCATCTTTCTTTTATTATGATAGAGACTTTTTTTTTTCGATTTCATATAGTAGTCTTTTTTTTGTAATCGTATTAAATCTCCAAGATAAATATTCGTCCATCGAAAAAAAAAATAGTAAGAATAATAGATTAAAATGGGTCAATAATTTCGAGAAAAAAAAATTAACCTTGTATCACATAGTCAAAGTCCCAAAAAAAGGCCATTTTAGTAATTTGGATTATTAAAAAATGTTTAGGTATTTTTAGATGCAAAAGTTTAGATTAACTTTCTTTTTTATGGTCGATCTTTACCTTTGTTGATATATAGATTAGGTAATTCAATTTTGATGGTCTAGCTCCGTTATTATTCTAACTATTATTATACTTGTTCCAGATATAAATTTTATCTGGTCAATTTATGATGGTTTGATCCAATTTTTTTAAAAACGCTTATTGCGGCGAGTTTTGGATGAATTTGGGGGTGGAGCGTACTAAAAACGTTTTGGGCGCAAATTAAAGGTGTCGATTCATAGGTTCGTAAACTTCAACCATGAAAACGTAAGTCATGGCTGTTGTTTCTTTTTATTCTTTTTGGTTTTTAAATTTTTTTTGTTTTAAATCACATCTTTTATTGTTGTTGCAATGATATTTCTCAAATAGTGATTGTAATACTTTTTCCCATTGTTGGTTATTAATACCCTTCTCAAATCAAAATCATGATATTTTTCTATATACTTTAGGTTATTTATTAAAATTTATTTATAAAATAATTGATAATACTTTGCTTATTTTGTGAATAATAAAATTATAAAATTAAATATACATGAGATACTTCTGTAGATCTATACGACTTATGTTATATCCCGAGACTTATGTGTCTCCTTATATTATATAAAATGTCGTCTCACGCCCTCATCTTTTAAATCATTAGGCTTTGATCCTTAAAGAGAAATAAAAATTACTCTTATGAATCCTACCTTTTTAAGACCTATTTTTAGTGCTACAATTAATTGGTAGTTGAGATATTTAAGGAGTATTACTAATACTAAATAGAAAAGAGAAGTTTGGACAAAAATCTAATAATTAGAATTTAGAGCTATTACTTAAATGTTTTCATAAATGATTGTGCAACAACTAAGATATAGACGGGGTGGAGGAATATTTTAAAATGATTAATAAAGTTCCCATTTTTTCCTCTTATAAGGTTTTGATTCATTTCAAAATAAATTAAGCAAACAATAGTTAGAAGTTAATTAATCTTACAATCAATTCTTAAGAAAATATATTTTGTTAATCGTTCAACAATTTTTTTCATATGCTTACCGAATAAATTTATTTCTATATAATAGCTTGCTAATTATACAAGAAATATAAATTATATTAGAGAAATCTCATACGGAATTTATCACCTGATATCAACTAACCTAATTACCTATACGGACATTATTAAATTATCTTTATTACTTTTTTTTCCTTTCTATTTTAAAAGTCTTCCATTTTCTCAAATGTTAAGGATAAGAACTAAGGGAATATATCTTCATTCTCTTTTCCCCTTTCAAAATAGAAATTATTAATTTTAATAAAACTAAAAAGGGAGATATTGTTTTGGGGAAAAGAAAAAGAAAGATAATGTTGGAGATTAAGGTAACATAATTAAATAATATGCAAAATTGTTATGCCAAAAGGAATGTCTAGCTTAATATGGCACATTGCTTCATCTTTAAGACTTTTTTTGGGGCTATTTTTTCAGTTTTTCACACTCGTCATTATTTGATTATTTATTTGTATACAAAAAATTAATTATATTCAAAGATTAAGTAATAAATAAAATAAATTTTAAAAGAGAAATACTTATATAATATTTCAATTTTGTTAGAATAAATTATATTCTGAATAAGACATAATACCAAATTGTTCACTAGTCTTTTCTTTCACCCTCACTTGTAAAATCAATACCTACTCTTTATTCATATTAAAAATACATAATTAATACATGAAGTAATTTCGATATAATAAAAATCTAATAAATGAACGGTCTAAATTATGTCTTGTCAACTATTTTTTTGAAGTTTATTTTATTAATCATAATGATCAAAATATAATAAATGAACGGTCTAAATCATGTCTTGTCAATTATCCTTTTGAAGTTTATTTTATAAATCGTAATGATCAAGTAGAGTAAAAATTTACATTTTAACAAGGATTTACATTTTAGTAAAAACTTCACCATTATAAATTAACTTTATATATAATTTTATAAGTGAAATAACGATGAAAGGTAAAAAATATATTACTGTCAAGAAAAATAATCTCTTGATATTGAGTCATATCTTAATGAACGATATTAACCATAGTTGTAAGCGATAATCCGCGTAGATATCATAATTATCAGGAAAAAAAAGAAGAAAAGCAAGAGGTATATATTATTTTTCTTTAATATTGTAGCTTTTTAAATGTTTTAAAAATGTAAATTCAAAACACAATATGGACAGAGACTATTAAATAAATTTCTCTGGTTCTTCAATTAAGTATTGTTACTTCTAGTATGGCAAGACAGACTACGAAGAGCGAGTAATTAATATTTTTTAAGAACCTAAAGAAGTTAATAGTCATTATTTTTTAGGTGCATAAAGTAAATTTATATTTGTACAAATAATTTACGAACCACAAGAATACAAGTTACATTTAAAAAAAAAAACATTGACGGAAAATCAATTGTTGGTCTCCCTTTAAGGGATTTGCTCCAACCCAATTTATATTATATTATAATTTCTTTTTCTATATTTACTTATCAGATTATATTATTTTTAAATATTTAAAATATTTATTCAATTTATAAAATTAATAAATAATTTATTAATATATACATACGAGTATTGTTTTACTTTTGCTACTATTAAACATGATTTATTTTTTCAACTTTAAATGAGTTACATTTAATAAAAATACATTTGATAAAATTATCTCTATCATATATTGTGTTTCGGTGTTTCTTAATTTTCGTGTCAGGATAATATGCTCTTTATTTTTAATTACTTATTTATTTTTCAGTTGAGATCCACATTAAGAAAATAATTAATTACACAGTGAGTTTATCATTATTACCCCTATTGATTATAAAAATGAATGAGTTAAAAATTTAAGATTTTTAAAAAGCTTTATGTTTTTTGAAGTACTTACCTCTCCTTAATTACTTGTTCACTTTTGAATATGCACATGTATTTAGAAAACAATTATCGACATAGTGAGTTTGTCATTTTATGCCTATTAATTATGAAGTGGATGAAGTAAAAACATAAAAAAAATTATATATTTTTCAAAGTAATTAATTGAGGATATAATATATAAAAAAATTATACTTTCTTGATTTGTCAAAATAAATAAATAATTAGGCAAAAATATAAAAAAAAAATTGACAAATAATTATAAACAGAGAAAATAATTGATCGAGAATATAATAGATAAAATATTTATCCTTTCTTGTACAAATAATAGAAAAAATAAGACAAATAATTAGGAACGAGAAGTATTAAATTAACATACGTATTCCTCGTGAAAAAATAAATACGTATTGCCATGTCATCATTGCCAAGTTTGCAGTGCGTCCTTGTTGGACCACCCCACCCCCTTAGTAACCCTCACCCCGAACCACCACCTACCCACCCACCCTTCCCCTGTTTTCAAGTTTGATAATCATATAAAGCTCAAAGTAGAACAGAACACAGAAAAAAAACACAGTGTTCTCTCTCTCTTCTTCAGGCGTGTCATCCAAATTACAGTCTCTAATTATGCTCTGTTTTCTCTCTCCCTAAAACCATCATCAGTTATCCATAACTCTTTGTCTCCATTGTCTCTTCTTCACATTCCTATTATTATTATTACTATTGTGTGTATGTGTATGATGATCAATTCCTCATTGACATCACTATTATGCCGCAGCTTTTGACTCATCTATAACAGACAATAAAGAGATTCCTTCAATCATTTTTCACCCCACTCCTTCACTTCCCCTGTTTTTCTTCCTGTTGCTCTGTTTTTTTTTCTTCTTCTATAAAAATACTCAGATATGGATAGGTATAGTTATCAACGGGAGAGGGAAATTTCTCATTCTTCAAACCCATCTTTCTCTTCTACACTTCTTGACGCAATTTACCGTTCAATTGATCAAGGAGAAGAAGAAGAAGAGATTGTTCTTTACAAAGAAACAATGCGTAAGAAACAGAGCAACAATATGGAGAGTTTTCAAAAAGCTTGTATGATTGAGAAATGGATGGAACATAAAGCAAGTGAAAAAGTTGTTGTTCGAAGAAAATCTATAGCTGATTTCGAAAGGAATCTGATGAACTCGAGCTCGAGTTCTTCAGATTCGAGCTGTGGGGGTGTGTTTTCTTCTTCAGAAACTGAATCCAGTTACAATAATGTAGTTATAAATTCTGCTGGGTCATCTTCTTCTTGTTATGGTCTAAACAGGCCTAAACCAATCAGAACCTCAATTTCCGGTTCAAACCCTGAAAAACACAGCAAAAATCAAGCTAAACAGCTCAACAACTATGGCGATTTCCGCCATAATCATCCTCCTATGGAAAGAGATTTCGCTCCCAAAACCAAAAGTGAAACTGGTTTTGTGAAGACGAAATCAAAAGCGTTGAAGATTTATGGAGATTTAAAGAAAGTGAAGCAACCAATTTCTCCGGGAGGTCGATTAGCAAGTTTCTTGAACTCACTATTCACTGCTGGAAATACAAAGAAACCCAAAGTTGTTTCTTCGAATTCTGCAAATGCATCTTCTACATGTTCTTCAGCTTCTTCATTCTCCAGGTCATGTTTAAGCAAAAGCACACCCAAATCCAGCAGCAACGGAACCAAACGTTCCGTTAGATTTTACCCAGTGAGTATCATCGTAGACGAAGATTGTCAGCCATGTGGACATAAAAATCTGTACGAAGAAAAAATACCCAAACCAGAGTCTCTAAAGAATAATATCAGAAACACCGTTAACGAAGAGCTCAAATTTCATTCAATGGAGAAAAATCGTCGAGTAGAAGAAGCTACTAAGGAGTTGCTGAGAAATTATCAGAGAAATTCAAATTCCCAAATCAAGAAAATGGAAATTTTCGACGATGAAGATGATGACGACGATGATGGTGCAAGTTGTGCTAGTTCAGATTTATTCGAACTTGATAATCTTTCTGCAATTGGAATAGATAGTAATAGGTATCTCGAAGAATTACCCGTTTACGAAACTACTCATCTCGATACTAATCGAGCCATTGCTAGTGGTTTGATTTTGTAATAAAAGTGTATTATTTATTGTTAACTAATGTAATTTTTGTAATTGGTTTGATTGGGGGTTTTATTTTACATTTGAGAGAAATGAAATTTCTTCTCAAAATTAATCTTTAATATCTATCTTGTGTATGTATGTGTAACTTATTTACATCAATTTGCTTGTTTGCTTGAGGAGAAAGTAAACTTATCTCTTTGTCATAGATAGAGTATCGAGTCGAGATCGAGTTCAACTGAGTTATAAATAATAATATTGAATTAAGCTGAATTCAACCGAGCTATTTATAGTATTAAGTTTGGTTTAATAAAATTTTGTTAGAGTATAACTGAGTTGAACAAATTTGAGTTTGATTCTCTAATAGTTGATTTTACATAGTACTATGTCATTGGAGAAGTTAAATTAATACTACTAGTAGTTTAAATTGGTAATTAAATTTAAATATGATTGAATTATTAAAAGTAAAATAAGGTTAACTTAATGATTTTTTTTTAAAAAAAAAGTTCAGTATAATAGTTGTTAAACTCCAAAAATGAAAAAGGAGGATTATTGAGAGATCATGTTCACACGAGAAGAATATGAAATAAAAGCAATTCAAGAAAAGGTCACAAAGGCAGATCGTTGTATTCATCAAAGAGAGAGTTCAGACTGTTTATTTCTTTTCTTTCCCTCCGTTTATATGAGCTTGTTCAGGTTATTATTTTAAAATTTAAAAATGAAAAATTATTGAAGGTTAATAGAAAATAATTTTTCTTTTCCATAAAAATAAAAATAAAATAACACATCTTATTATAACTACATTTATGAAATTATACTGAAATTATTGATGTTATCGTTATTCCGTTGCTTTTGTTGTGGGTCCTTTTTATTTTTGCTTGAAGATGGCGCTAGCATCACTACCATAAATATCCCCTTCGAATTATCAAGTCAAAAAGCACTCCTACTATAGCTTATTTATCAACAAGAGTAGTACAAATGCTACTTCTTCAACTTGGATACATTTATTATTTCCTTTATTTTTATTAACTATATTTCACTGCTAGTAAATGCTACTTTTACTACTAGTTTTTTAGAGAAAAGTTGTTTGTATTGTTCCAAAAGAGTGTTAATTAATTAAGTAAGATACTTGAGAGAGAAAATAAATAAGAATTTAGGCTAATATAATTAAAATTGAAGTTATTTAAAAGATAAGATAATAAGAAGAGGAGACATTAACCATGATGGTAATTAATAAAGCAAAGTAAAAATGTGGATGATGAAAATGATAATTGAAGGAAGAAAAAGATGATGCAAGGATAAAAGAGGGATTGCTCATGGTCTCCAAAAGTTTAGGACATAAAATCTATGGTCAGATTTTTGTTGGGTCACCCTTTACCTTAGTATTATTTTTTTATATTTTTTATTTTTTACTCGATATTCGATATTTACTTCATCTCAACTAATTCAAATTTACTATGAAAAGTTTCAGTTTGGGAGTAAAACATTCTCAATAATTTTTGCTAAAAGTTTCAAAACATAAAAAGGTAAACACTTTGAAGCAACTACTCTCATTTTTTTCATTTCTATCTTTTTTTTAAGTAATAAATAAATAAAATAATAATCACTCAATTTTTAGAGTTATAAGTGAAATTCAACTAAATATGTTTAGATAATTTTAATTAATATCAAAAAATATTTATCATTTTATCGCTAGCTTTGATGGTCCAGTTCTTCCTTGCTTATTACCACCACCTACTTATGTAGAAAAATGAAATAGTCCAAGAAATTAATTAAGTATACTGACAGTACTTGTTTGTGTACACAAAGGTCAAATTAAAGGGTCTTTATTTTTCAAAGGAACTGTTTTTCTTCTCACCCCAATATGCCAACAATATACAATTTTGTTCCTACTGGAACCACATAGATATGATGACATCCAGTGGAACTCTCAAGAAACTATATTAAAATTATCATATAAAAACTTTATATTATAATTATTAATATTAATAATAATGTGTGGTTGTCCACATATATAGATCAAACATTAATAGATTGAGGCCCCTCATTTTGGAATCCTAAGTTGCTTAATAACTCTATTTTAAATATATATATACAATAGTAATATGTGCTTTGAGGTTTTTCTTTTAAAAAAATTTATTAAATATGTAGGAATCATCAATAATACATAAATTATAATGGAGAGATTAGTAATCTAAATAATGCAATGCAAGAATTGTTTTTATTAGGTGTTTAGTATAAATTAGTATAGAATGTATAATTGAAAATTTGTATTGATTATTTGATTAAATGTTTGTTTTACTTACAATGACAAACAAAGGTTTCTCCGTCACGAATCAATGAAACATTTATCTATAAAATATAATTTTTCTATCAAATTAACTCACTGAAAAATATATGATAAAAATAAATTCTCATCCAAATGTTGAGAAGCTTTCTAATTTTTCATATACAAATATTTTTAGTTTTTTTCTCTTGATTCAATTAAGATATTTATGAAAATAGTCACTAAATATTTTTGTCGAAAAAACTTTAGTGGGAAAATAGTTACTCCACCTTTTAGTACTGATTGTTACGAAGGTTAGTTTTTTTATATATAAATTTTAGCGTTATTAGTTATAACGATAATTTTTTATTTTATTTTAGAAAAATCACATTCGATTTCATATAAAATAATATATATGCCTTTATAGGACAATTTTTAAATTTACTACTAATAAAAAGTTTTATTTTTTCGGGACTAATAAAAAGTTTCTCATTTTCTTATTCATGCTTTTACTATTCGTTTGATGATTAGGTTTAGTTCATTTGTTACTCATCCTAGTACTGTTAACTTTAATTTATTAATTAATTATATAATTGCTGGTTAGGGGCCAAATGTACAATTTCTACAGCTAAAAGTATGCCTATTGTGAGCTGTTATACGTACTTGAAATTTGTAAACAGTATACTAAAGCAACTTAATTAATTAGTACACGTGATGTCCACGATCAAAAGTTCAAATTAAAGTAATTACTCTACTAATTAGCAAATGTAATGTTAATTATCTTGTGATTACTGTAAAGATAGTGAAATCTAAGAAAAAGGAATGCTAAGGAGAGAGAAACATATTCAAAATTCAAAATTTATTAATTTTGGGACAGAACAATAACTGGGTTTAGAATAAAATATTTATGAGTTAATAACTCGGTTTAAAATAATTATTTATGAGTTAATAACTCTTTTTTTTTTTCAGTTTCTCACTTAATTATTATGATTTTGATTTTAAACACATTTAACCTTCAATCACTTGAAATAGGTCTTTTTGATTCCTTTGCTCATTAACAATTATAAATTTTCCAATGTACAATAATAAAATCAGTATAATCTTACCAGTAGAATTCTGAAAGGCTGAAGTGTATACAGACCTTATCACCTACTTTTAAAAGGATAGAACAATTGCTTCCGATAACGATCAACTAAAAAAAATAAAAATCAGCAAAGTACAAGTGTAAAGAAAGTTGTAATGAAAATATGAAGATAGATAAATATTGACATTAAACTACTAATGTGCATATTTGACGGTAATATTCTTTTAAAAATAATTTTAATATAATAATTAATCACATAAAATAATTTAAAAAATACATATTTTAATATATTGAAAATACCATAATATATAAAACATATGAAAATAATTTAAAACGTTAATATATATAATTTTAACGTAATATTATTGAGTTTTATCAAAGTCATAATTTAAAGAGGTGGACCTTCTAACTTAATTAATTAAAATAAGTACCCTACAAGGGAAGTTAAAAAATAAAACAGGAGATTAGAGATGAGGACCACTAAATCATAACAGTTTGATACGCTAATTAAACTATATATATTCTATGCTTAACTTCCACATTAGTATAATATAATATAATCACAAAGTTAAGGGTAGCTTGAACTATAGGAAAAGAAAAGCCTATATCCTACTTATAGACTTTGAATTGCCTATGCTAAAAAAAAAGATAATAATTTTTTAATTTAGGACCCATTTTTGTTAGTTCACAACCAAAGTTTGATGGCTCTAGGACTTTAACGTACAATATTTAATGTAATTAATTATAGAAAAGACTTTGAAGTGTATAAAAAGGCTTACATCAATAAATTTTAGTACTAAAAGAGAATACTCATTATCAGTTAATGGCTCATTTAAGACCTAGCTAATATATTGATATGCTAAGACTTTAAGCTATGATTTTTAAATTTCATACTATATACTAAAATTTTAATTAATTTCATATATGAATACGTACACATGCTTTTTTTTTTTAATAATCATGCACGCCTATAAAGTAGGCATGTTGCATGCTCATATTCCTTGTCCCATTTCACATTACACTAAACTAGCTAGTTAAATTAGTGGTACAATATGTCTTATTTTGCAGGCTATTAATTTCATTTGTATGGATAATTATATGTAATTATCATTAGTGAAAATTACTAGTTTTTCGATGCAATTTTGTGCTAAATATATAATTATAAGTAATTATTATTAGTGAAAAGTTACTAGTTTTTCAATATGTCAGTGAGAATTTGTTTATATTTCACCTTGTGTTTTTTCAGTGAGCTGATTTAATAGGAAATGAATGGAAAAATATAATCATATTTTGTCGGAAAACATTTGTTTCTAGTTGTGCGATTGCATGAATGTATGTAGATCTATTTTAATTTTTAGTTTCTGATTCCAACATTTGGTGTCTATATATTGTTCTTAGATGAAGTTTACCTCCTTAATTTCATCCTTCCTTAGATGCATTTGTTAATTCACTTCCCTCAATGACAATGAAATAGAAGATTGTTTTATCTCGTAGAATATGGAATTGCTAATTTCATCCTCGTATTTATCTCATTCCACATGTCAAACGGTCTTATATGTGATGACCGTGTTAAAATTTAATTACAATCTTTATCAACAAAAGTTAATTAAACTCAATAACTATATATGAAATGTGTCTATTTTTTTTATTTTTTTTATTAAAAAAACTTTAGTTATTCATTAACCAAGGAATAGTGGGGAATCAACATTAATCATGAGAAGAAAAAGGAAACTCCTCTACTCAAGTCAAAAGTTGCTAAAAGAACATTCTCT